ATTAATTTAAAAATTGAGTAATAAAATTGTTTAATATATACATAATGAAAAATTAAGCTTTTTCGAGTTCTTTACTAGAAATGTTGATTATTATATAATTATATAATGTCTCATTTCAATAAACTCGCTTTTCACTTTATCAAGCGTTCATTAAGAGAGAATTTGCGAATTAATTAAATCAGTTAAGTGTAAAGGCTTTCAGTGATTGCTGGGCTATATATGTACCTACATCATATCATTTTACCATATTGGTGGGAATTTTTAAGACCCACAGTGAACCTACAGCAACGTCGTGTGTGTTAAAAGCTTCGAGCAACATAATCAATGTCTGAGCGAATCCTGTTTTGCAGCACTTGACAGGGGATACTATGATTCAGTCATTGCATATGCAACGGATAGCAGGAGTTTCTATCCATTATATAGAGTTCAATGAACAGCAGAGTTCATGAATTTATAATATGTTGAATTGCATTATTGAATTGTTTAATGATATATGATACATATGTAAGTGAGTGATATCTAAAGAAGCAAGATCACAATGTCATATGAAGTCACTATATCATAAATGTAGCTCTATTATATTATCTTAAAAACTTAATAATTTGTACCTTTATATATGCAAATCCCTATCAATAGGGAACTCTCAATTATTCAAAATGGAAAGCTCTTAAGAGCATTCAAACTTCGGCGTACGGAAATGCCTGTTCCATCTTGTTACACTCGGCTACAAGTGAGATCAGTTTCAACTTGTCCAGGACCTGGGTCGAGCTTGAGCTCTTGCTGTGAGCCATGTTTTGCTGCCGATTGTCAGAACGCATTAGGCTCAGGATTACGGAGCATTGGAGCTGAGCTGAGCCTGGTAGCTGCCTGTCGGCTGGCTGACTGGATATCAATAACAATTTTGGCTTGTTTGCGATGATTAGAAATGATCGCTTAGGTTTCGCAAGTGTGCTCAGGTGTCAGCTGTGCATACCTGCTCGCGCCCGCCCCTAAGCGGCACTTAACTCGATTGCTTAGAAGCTTAGGCCAACAGTGCTTAATTAACCACAAAATTCTTGAAAATTATTTGCTCCGACTGTGATTTGTTACATGTATTACTAAGTGAGTGTGCAAACATTGCGGGATGCGAGCCACCACCACCAGCACCGCCATCATTATCATCGTCGTCATCATCATCATCATCAGGGTGTACCTGTTATCACACCAGTCGCATCACTATCAATTTGGATTGTGGCACGTGAATGTTTGTTTGCTTAGAGCTCAGCCTGGGTCACTATTTGATTAAAGTCTTTGCCTGGCTCTCTGGTTGCCCTGGTCGTCCTGGTGCGCCGTACAATTGTTGCCTCTACTGCTCTCTGGCGTGCCTCCTCCTGCCTCGCCTCCTCCTGCCCATGCAAATTCAGTCAGGCATTTCGTTTCATTTGCGTCGAGCTCTGTGCATTCTGTATTCTTATTCTCTGTGCGCTCTGTGCGTTTGGGCGGGGCTTCAAAAATCAATGAAATACTTTTCGAGTGGCACTCGTGAGGCTTCCCAAGCACTGGCTACGCTTTGCCTTTACATTAATATGTCGGGTAGTCGAAGTCACTCAACATGCCAAATCTCACAATAGTTAACACATTCCAATCGAAATGCCAGCTCACATTTAGTCTAATTATGTTTCTCTTTAATGGAATTATTTTATGAATATATTTTGTTTAATATATATATCATTTATTAATTTGCTGTCGAATTGATAGGCTCTTTCAAATCGTGTGTAGCGCACTTAAAGTGCTTTAATTTATTTTTGCGTCGCTTGATTTATTTAAGACTATATTAAGTAGAATTCTATCTTTACACTATGAAATATTTGGAATTATATAAAATTGTCATATTTTTGGGATTGGGATAAGAATTGAATAAATTTTTGACATAATGAAATATGTTCTTTTAAGAATAAAAAATAAGCTTATGAGAATATATAAAGAGTAAAAAAAAAATATA